ACCTGTGAAATTCATTGCCACAAGATGTGGTAAGAGCTCTAAAGGAGGACTAGATCAATATGTGGAGGTCAGGCGATTAGTCTTGAGGACCTAAGGCTATCTCTGGGTTGGGGGTATCCTGTGCCTCCACCTGCCAGTTGCAGGGGAACAACAGCAGGAGGGCCTGTCTCTATCACCTGGTTGTGAATATTTCAGAGGCATTTGAACTAAGAGGGGACTTGGCCTTATCCAACAGAACTGTATTTCTGTAACGTTATATGAGCTCTCAACAGTGTAACTGGTTCAGCTGTATAAAAAAGTTCAGCTGAACCTTCATGCCATAGCGTGTCATTTATCTCTGTGCCACTCCAAGCTGTTCTTAAAAGACAATGGGAGAGTTGAAGTCAACTCAGATTGACCCTTTATACTAAAATGTCTTTTGGAGGTCTTGAATAAATCTGATGGCCTGGGCCCCCTAAATATGAAGTTATTTAATTGGCCAACACCAGAAATGATAATAACCAATTTAAAAAAATAATCCAATGCAATCCATTAAGTATTGAGTAACAATCTTTACTAGGCGCAAGAGCTCTTACCAATCACAAATCCCAAAGACATGGGCAAAGGGGGGGTGGGGAATACAAGCTACACTTACCTATGGGTGATGCACTTTTTGGCAGAGTTCTACAAAATCTCAGTTTAGTCTGGAGCTGTGTCCACTTATCTAATCTTCCTAGCTAGGAGTCCTCACTATTGGATTACAACTTTGTCCAGGCTATTATGGATGGGATCACCTAGTGATGAAGGGTGTAGGGGCACTTACATCATATCTGAAGAGCAGTAACTTCGGTTACCAAGAAAGTCCATATCTGGGTTTTTCTGCTGTGGAGGTCAGCCTTTTCCAACTTGGTGTTCTCCAGATATGTTGGAACTTCAACTGCCAGAATTCCTGACCTAACTAAATAAATTGGCAATAGAAATATGCTGCTAACAATTGGTTCCCTTTTCATAATACTATAACTTGGCTACCTGGGGCTACTTCCTATTGTTAAGCTTAGACCAGGCTATAATCACAGCAGAATATTTGACACAGAGTAATGCAGCTATTAAGCTTATTCCCATAGTACCTTTCAAGTAGTGTGGACAAACATGAGTAGCTCTTGCAGCACTCCTTCAAACTTCTATTTTCTTTGAATAAAGCACTAGTACAATGAGACAACAGCAGCTTATTTATTTGCTGCATTTATATTCTACTGCAATCTGGAGACTTTTCAGTGGCTCACACAATATAAGGGAAATATTAAAACATCCATAGCAGGCTGGCTGGGGAATTCTGGGAGTTGAGGTCCACACATCTTAAAGCTGCCAGGGTTGAGAAACAGTGCCATAGACAATAATGAGGATAAGATCAATGCAAATTTAAAAACTGTAAATTTAAAAGATGGTGCTATTCTGTTATGGAAGACCCTTCTTATTTGCTATTGAAATTTGATGGAGATAAAATTTAACAGCAAGCAGATATGAAGTAATCTATCTTGCAAAAGTCCTCAATTCTTTGGGATGGGTAGATTTGGAATTCTGAGACTGGGTCATGGCATATTTTGGTCTGGAGGACCTTTATCCCCAGGTCCTAATTAGGAGCTAGCATTTGAACTCTAATATTCTCATCCAGAATTGCCCAAAGTGATGGCCTCCTGGTGTGTTGGATTGCACTCCACATAATCCCTAACTGACCCTCTTATCTGATTAGGAAGTATGGGAGTTGTAGTCCAACACATGTCAGGAAAGACCCCTCCCTCCCTCCCTCC